TTATACTTTAATTCTGAAGGACGATGACCGGAAGTATTGTTGTTGCTCCGAGCAACAGACACCGAAGAAGTATGCTAGCACAATGCTAAAGTCGTACGGCAGGATTTCTTGGTAAATTCGTGAAATTTAAATACTCCCCTTTACTTACGGCTTTCTGTTTTTAATGCCGGAGTATGGTTTAAATCACAGCTGTGCATTTTTTTGCAAATGATGCGGAGTAAATGCGTTTTTTATTTGCTACAGAGCTGACTGAAAATGTGAGCATAATGACATTCATTAATGCTGCGCTTCCTAAATGTACAAGAATTGCATGTAATAAGTGTCTTCCATCGAGTATCATTATGTACTCTCAATTAAAGGTGAGTCATGCAGACGTTTGATTTACTAAAAATAACTTTGCATAGTGTAATGCACTCATTTGACATACATAGCTATATTTTTAGAGGTTTTTCGCTAAATAACCTGCTCTTGTGTCATATTATCATTATTTATTCGTTTTTAGAGATGTTGCTATAAAACTTGTATACCCATTCAAATCTGTTAATAATATATGTATGTCCTTTCTTCATTTTTAGTGTAAATCCAAATCTCATTCATCCACTTTTGAACATGAGGACCAAAGACCTGCTCCTGGGTGCCTTTATTGATGCTTAAACTCTTTGAAGAAGCACTGGGAAGTAATCTGTTGCCATGCGTATCACTTTCTGCCAGGCTCTGTTAACTGGTGCCATTATCGTCAACCTCCTTATCCTCTATTATGTGTCTCGAGCGCAGCAGCAGATGATGGAGAAGAGGAAGGAGCTTGGCCGTGGGACGAGGAGGGCCGCTCGGCCGGGCTCGGGGCTCGGAGGAAGCCTGGGGGTCCTCGGAGGAGAACGTGGAGTGGCGGGAGTGGAAGGGCACGGTCGAAGCCCACGGGTGACCGTTCTCCTCCGGGAGTTTGAAAGCTTTGAGAATTACGTAGGGGATGTGGCTAATTCCTTCCTTCGTCAGCGGCCGGAGCTGCCCTTCCTGGCCGTGGCTGACGTGTTTCCGTACCCGCCCCTGGTGCTTCCTGAGGGCGCTCGGCTTCTGGTGCTCTCCCCCAGCCCCGAGCAGCCGCCCCAAGCTCACAGGCCGGAGTTCCACGTGCAGACAGAGTTTGTGCTGTTAGTGCCTGATGGAGTGGTGCTGGAGCAGCCTCGAGTTGTGGAGAGGCTCATTAAGGAGCTGGAAGGTGAGGGCGGGGGGCCTGTGAGGCTGGTAGCTGCACCCGTGCTTGCTCGCTCTGCGGTGCAGTGCCTCCACCTGAGGGTGAACCTCAGAGAGTGGACAGCCACGTACTCGCCTGCCGCCTCTGGCAGCAGCGGGAGTGTGTGCACAGCCTTACAGGGAGATGCCGTCGTCCTGATTCGCACCGAGGATCTTTTCAACCTGTCCGTCCCGCTCGGGCGGCCTCTCTTTCCCGCTCTTTTTGTCCAGACGTCCTTGAGAGGTTGGAAGGTCAAACTGCTGGAAAGCCCCTGTTTCTCTGCGAGCCACCGGCCACTTTTCAGCTCCGCGCACAACCAGTGGAAGGCTGACACCCGACTGAAAGAGGCCACGGGGAAGCTGATGAGGAGCTTCGGGCTGAAGCGCCTCCTGATGCCCGATGGGAAGGACCAGTGGTACGGCTGCAGTAAAGAGACGRCGCGCTGCTTCAGCACTGTTCAAGACGACACGCCAGACTATCTCTATCTGGACCGCTGGACGCCGCCTTGCTGCCTGCGATCGCTCAGGGAAACCACCAAGTACGTCATCAACGTCTTGGAGAGCTCAGGGGTGCGCTACTGGCTGGAGGGAGGGTCTCTGCTCGGCGCCATTCGCCACCAGGACATCATCCCGTGGGATTACGATGTGGACCTGGGGATCTATCTGGAGGATGTGCCCAACTGCGAGCACTTGAAGAACCTGGATTCGGGCTCGTTGGTGGACGCTAACGGCTACGTGTGGGAGCGAGCCGTGGAAGGAGACTTCTACKGAGTCCAGTACAGCGAGTCCAACCATCTGCACGTCGACCTGTGGCCTTTCTATCCCCGGAACGCCGTCATGACTAAAGACACGTGGACAGAGCACAAACAAGACGTGGAGTTCCCGGAACACTTCTTGCAGCCGCTGGTCCCCATGCCCTTCGCTGGCATCACGGCCTACGGCCCCAACAACCACAGAGCCTTCCTGGAGCTCAAGTTTGGAGAGGGGGTGATCGAGAACCCGCAGTACCCGAACCCTGACAAAAAAAGGCTCGATAGAAGCAAGTTATGAGAGACGGAAGGGGCTCAAAGGCCCTTTTATATTGCACTGATTGTTATTTTTTTAATCTAGTTTACCTCAATTTCTTTTTCTATTTTGGCCAAGAAAAAAAACTACACAATGCCAACTTGTTGACTTATGTTCTGTGTTAGCTGATAAGTTTTATAATCACAATCGGTCAAATATTTTTTTTCATTTTAATGTGTTTTGGTGTAAAGTTTTTTTAAATGGACAGAGACAGAGATCCATTATTGTACTGACTTTTAATCAAAAACTGGATTTACTCGTAATACCCTGAATGTGTTGTACAGTGTAAATATTACTGCTGTAAAACAAAGTTTAAATTATAGGAGAATAATCTTGCAGTATTTAATGTACAGAATTATTTTTAAACAGGTGACCTTTGAGTTACGACATGGTTTGTTAATTTGCGTTGCCTTGTTTTATTGAGACAGTTTCCATTTTTCAAGTTTTAAATTTACAATCAGCTCCTTCGATAGATTAGGAAACAATATGGGCAGAAATGTTTCAACATTTTTTAGGTCTTTTCCGATACAAATCAAGGAATCCAAACATGAAGACACAAAACATTGTGACTTTGTGAAAATATTGTTTGCTCTTAAGTTTAGCTGATTTTGGTTTCATACTACTTGATGTGTGGCCATTTTGCATTTCTTGCTTTATTTATTATTTTTTGTTGCTTTGAATTTTAAGGGCTAATAATTTGAAAGATTGATCCTGCAACGTTTATGCTGTTTTAWTTTATTTATTTATTTTCATTATTTATACTTTGTTCATATTCTTAGACTTTTTGTGTCTCTTTCTAGAAGAAACATTTATTTCAAAGTCTTACGAGGTTTTACACGTACGTTGAAAAACTGCAACGTTGTTTTGGTGAAATCCTTTATTAATAATTATGTGCAATATTTGATTGTAATAGGGACATAACAAAACGCCTTCATCCAACTAGTGTGTGTCCTGCAAAGTTTCTGATAAGTGTGTGTTGTGTATTTGTGTGTCACATTTAAAAAAAATGGTCAAATAAAGAAAAATCTCAACTTTTCTGTTTGTGGTTGCAGCAGCTCTTCTTCATGAACACAAGATGGCACAACWCACTCACTATTGAGTCATTATTTTTGGCGGATCTAAACCAGGAATGTAACTTTACTGGAACAAAGCTTATTTCTTCCCCATAAACCAGTTTAGTGATGCGACCGTGTCCTGAAACTACACACAGTCAATAGACCTTTACTTGAAACTATTTCTGGATTTGTGTTTACATTCCTTCCAGCTGAGTGTGGAGCATCATTATAGTCAAGAAAGCACTTTCTCTTTCAGCACCAAGGTTGTACACCCCAGCATTTCATCTGATTGTATTAAATATATTAATTTTGGTCTCAATTATTTATTCTATTTTTTCTGTTTTCTTCAAATCTTTATACTTTCTTTTAAAGATGCAATACGTCCTCTGTTTTTTTTTTTTTCTAAATAATTGTTTAACATACCTTCTGAGATGTCGCTTCATTTATTTTTTCATTTATTCTGTTTCTCTGACCTCTGGGTAAATTTGCCAGAAAGTCCACTCCTGAGAATACTGGCCACTAACCAGTGTTGCATAAAGTACCAGAAAGTGATACTTGAGTAAAATTACAAGTATTTTTCCAAAATAAAACCGACTTTGGTAATAGTTAAAGTCTCCTTTAGGAATATTACTTGAGTAAAAGTCTTAAAGTATCTGTTATTTTTAGTACTTAAGTATTAAAAGTAAAAGTACTGATTTAAAATGAGCAGTTAGATTTTCTGTTAGGACATTTATTAGGAAAACAATGCAGAAATGACTGTCGTATTAAAATAATTAATTTATGTTAAATTTAGGATGCACCAGTCAAGGCTGCCCAAACCTTTTCTCCAAAAGGAAACTCTGAGGGCTGTGGTCAAATGCAATAATATAATTCATGAAATACAAATACTTCTTAAGTACTGTACTTTTATTTTAATGATTACGTCCTGCAGGAGTGTGACATGATTTGTTTGTGTACAAACTATTACGGTATCAGAATTTTATACATTTATACTTCTCATTCAACCACAATTAAATTCATTCTTTGTAGAAGGCATAGTTTATATGGAAAGTATTTATTTTTTTACAATAACAAGCTGGAATGAAAACAAGCAAAAGTGAAATAAAAGTAATGACTTTCTACTTATTGCCTTTTTAAAAATGTAAGGAGTAGAAAGTACAGATAGTTCTGTGAAAATGTAAGAAGTAGAAGTAAAAAGTATGCTGAAAAATAATTACTCAAGTAAAATACAGATACCCAAAGATTCTACTTAAGTATAGTAACAAAGTATTTGTACTTAGTTACTTTACAACTCTGCCACTAACCCTCCTGCTGCCCTTAGGTCAAAAATACTGTAGATGACCCACAAGACCTCAGTGTTGAGACTTGAGGCCTTGTGGGTCATTGTGACCCGGGCAGCAGGAGAGTTGTTTAGGTGTGAATATTCTTTCACAAAGTGGAGTTTTGGACTCATCTTTAATCACTTGTAGACGTCCATCCATTCAACACTTTGTGTTTCATTAAACTGAGTCCAATAATTAGCAGGACCTGACTGCTCTTTACTTCTCTGAAACCAGTTTTAGATTGAAATAAGTCACCAAACGGTTTAGTTTTTGGTTACACATGGGTGTACATGGTTTTAAGACTTGAGAACAAACTGATTTATGTAAAGCCATAAAAGCAGCTGCATGTAAATATGCATCCCTCTAAACATAATTTTCTTGCACTCCAATTAAATGATCGATTGAAACTGGGGCTGAAAGATTAAAACACCAGCAACACAAGCATTTAAAAAAWTTTTTTTTATTGTTGTACTTTTAAATTATAGCCTCATTGGAACAAACACCCACGACTGACACATCCATGTGGTTTAAGATGTTCAGCAAACAAGAACATTTTTACAACCTTGAGCTGGAAAGGGTAAAACAACAACTGTGACACAATTCTTCACAGTTCAACAACTTTTTCATGACACAAAGTACTTTCAATCCAATGGGGGAAAATTGGGACATTCAAGAATTATTTTTTAGTTTTAAATATGGGAGAGAAAACAAACATGGATGCAACAACTTTCCATTTAACAAGATTGCTTCAGTGTGCAAACTGGAACACCACAAACACACAAAAACGCAACCATCCAGCCCACAAACTGGAGACAAAACAAAAGCAGAAGATATAAAATAACAGTCTAGCCCCATTTGGTTCTGAGAAGTCATGGAAGGAGTGAAACACCTGGTTGGGAGTAATTAGCATGCCAAACATGGCTACAAATTTCTTTGGATTTTCATAAAAAATAAATAATAATTTAAACAAATGGACAGTAAGGCCTGAAGTCAAAACAATGACTTGTTTCATTACTGAAAACATTTTAAAATCCCCCTTACAAAAGTTCATTTAAAACCCAGCAGCCGGCTGGGTAAAGACACACATGCAGTGGAAGGTAATTTGACACGAGCGTGACATGTACAGTATTCATACCACGTGCTGCACCATCAGACYGTCATCATCACACTGTGCTTTAAAACCTATTTATACTTTCTTAAAACACCGGAGCAGAAGAAACGGCTCGTATAAAACGAGGGAGATTTAAAAAATAATAATAAAAGTTCCTCAAGAGATCAGTCGTCTCCTTCATTTGCCTCTTACTTTTTTGGTCTGAGAGTTTTTCTAAGCAGTTGAAGGAGAAAAGTCCAAGCTGAGGCCAACAGAGTCAACCAGGTGAGAAAAAAATCAGTCAGCTTACATCCACGATTCTTCATTAAACTTTGAGTCGGCACCGAAGCTATAATGTCATCGGACGTCCTTTGGAATACAATAAAAACTTTACTCTCAACACGGGACAGATTCTTACAGGTTCTTTTGCATAGCCACAAATAGTCCATGAAAGCTTTCAAACCCTCCCACAAAGACATCCAAAATCTAATCTTTGTGAATTTTTCTATATATTAATATGGCATTTTTATACAGGTTTAAGGCATAAAGATAAATTACATCTAAATGTAGCAGTGGGATTTCTAGCATCTACATAATGCAAATATCATACATTACTGCAAATCAATACAACTAAATAGATTTAACTCTCTATAGCTTTGTTTAGTGCAGGTAAAGACTGATTGTGTACCTTTGGTTCTTATGAAGAAATTAAATGAACTAAAAAAGGTGAAATTCATACTACCGTAATAAATTAAATAGACTGAAATCGMTTTTTGCCTCCGTTTAACTGTACCTGTTAAGTGTTATCTGTGCTTGCACATTAAAAGCACCACTTAGCCAAAGCGTTATGATCCAAAAAGGAAAGAGGAAAACTAAACATMTAAATGATTGGTCCCATGTTTTTTGGTCAAAAAATTAGCGAAAAGCCTTTACAAATGTATAAAACTGAGTTTTCCAGATGCAGAAATTACACAGCTGTTGCATGTTTTTCAAAATCAAGTATTTGCATCTTAAGACTGGCAAACATTACCATCCCTAATGTATTTTATATGACAGTCAATATAAAATACAGTGATTCAGACGACAGCCGGCACTGATTAAAACCTGCATGAAAGTGGCTATACTCGACTCAAACATGTTCCACCCTAGCTCCATTTGACATCCTACTTGTCTGGGTTTCACAAGTAAGATATCAACCCTTATTATATAACAAATTAAAAGGAGACTGACACATTTGACCTTCTGTACATTGACCGTGGAAACTGACTGAGTAGAATATGCTTTAAGGGGGGCTCTCATTAACTTTTAAAGTCAGAAATGTCCTCGTTTTAGAAAATGGAGTGCTGTCAGAAGCAACCAGTGACACAAARGAGATATGACAACATCTTAAAAGCATTTAGACCAACCCTTAACATTTATATTGCAATGTTTTCCACCATTTCCTTACTTTTTATCCATTTACTGACTGCACCTTGAAGGTCACTGGTGTGTAAACTGGTCATCTGATATAGATGTACTCAATGATGTCACAGACATTCTGACTTTAAAGTTGACCCAGACCAATCAAATGCACAGAAATGTGTCTAATGTAGACCAATGTGCCCCTAAAAAGAAAAAAAACACCCTCCCACCACCACTTTGTACAGGGTGGTGAGGTCAAAGAGTTTCTTCTGCATTGTAGTGTGCGCGTCCATCCTCACTCCTTACACGCTTTTCTTCAAGGCAGGGAATAAAACAAGAAAAAAAAAAATTTAAATGGGGGGGTTGGGGGTGGGTGGGAATTGAACCTTAAGTTTTAGTTTCCAGAAGCGTCAGGCTTGTCCGGAGTGACCCTGAAAGTGTCAGCAGCAGCATTACATCATCGACTCTTTTTCACTGGAAGACTTGAAACCTTCGGCGCTGTCCCTCAGCCCTCGTTTATCTATGAGCGGCGAGTGCTCGGGGGCGGCGGCAGACGAGTCCCCCTCCATCCTGACCTCGCTCAGCTCGGCTCCGCCTTCGTGTTTGAGCTTGCGGTCCACAAAGCACTGCAGGAGTCCAGCTCCGAATGCGTCGCCCTCCACGTTCAACACGGTGCAGGTACGATCTCTAAAGAGCGAAAAATCAAAGTCATTGGTTTAATGATGTTGAGCGTAGAGGGTTTTTTTTTTTTTGCCACAGAGTAAATACAAAAGTGTACTCACACAATCCAGTCAACGGCCAGGATGAGAGAAATGTCTTTGGTTGGAAGTCCTATTGCTTCCAGAATGATAGCCAGAGTCAGCACACCACCTGCAGGGATACCAGCTGCTCCGACACTGGACGCTGTAGCTGTCACACTAACAAACACAAGGGACAGTGTCACAGTAGTGCCACTAAACAGGGTTCTTCCACCCGTACTCAAGTCACTTTTCACACAGTCTACGATGAGTTTTGTAAGGTTTGTCAGTACTAGAATGTTATAGAAGAGGCAGGAAAAGTACTACTGGAGAGGGATGTGCGTTTCGACTCACAGGATGGTGATGACTTGGATAAAGTTGAGGCTCGAGTCGTTCAGCTGAGCAATGAAAACAGCAGCCACYCACTGAAAGAGAGCGGCTCCGTCCATGTTGACTGTGGCACCGATGGGCAGAATGAAGCGGCTGATGTGCTTGGAGACGCCGTTTTTCTCCTCCACGCACTTCATCATGAGGGGCAGTGTGGCAGAGCTGAGGAACAAGGAACGGGGGTGGGTTGAGTGTGCGAGAGCAGAAGCCATGTGGGGAGAGAGGTGTGCGTTTTAGACAGGAGAGGCTCAGTTAGCCAGACTGAGCAAACAAGTGTGCTTTTGAGAGATTCCCGTACCTGGAGCTGGTCCCGAAAGCTGTGGCCAAAGCCGTGAAGATCCCCCAAAGGAAGGTGTACGGGTTCTTCCTTGTGAAGATAAAGTAGATGCCCGGCAGCACGAGGATACCATGGATTGCGTGGCCAATAATGCAGCAGGCTATATATTTTCCCAGACTGGCAAATAGCGTGCCGACGTCGTCCATCTCCACAATCTTCCCAGCAACGAGGAACATGATACCCAGAGGGGCATACCTGCAGACAGGCGGGAGAAAAGGAACCACACAATGCGATGGATCAGATTACAGGAACACAGCACAAAAGAAAAGTCTCCTACTGAACAAACAACTATATCTAATTCAGACCCAAGGCCTTAGAAGTTTTCTCAAGGTTCTACACATTTATCTTGGTGTCGCATAATCCAGAGATTCTTAAACCAATTGTGGGCCGTGAGCGCCACCTTGAGGGCCTCAAAAGAACAGTTTTTAACTTCGGGCCGCAGAGGGCCGAGGGACCGCATTGATTTTACCCCTGGCATAAAACCACTGGTTTAAGGTAACATTAACATGCAACCTTCCTTACCACATGATCCAGGAGACCAGCACCATGGTGGCCTCATTGAAGGAATTGAAGAACTTGATCAGGATCTCTCCTTCCTCGCCCAGCTTCCTTAACGCCACGCCAAACACGATGGCAAACACCACCAGGCCAAGAATATTCATGCCGTCTTGGTCTGAACCAACGGGCACCTGTCCACCATCACGGATTTAAAAAAAAACTCAATTTCTTGTACATTTATAATCCATTATAACAAATGACTRAATGTTTCAGTTTTTCCTCACCTTCTCTACGGTGACATTTAGGGTTCCATTTGTGCCGTTCCTTGTTATCAGCTTGTAGGCAGTTGCATACTAGTGGGAAAAAGACAATTTTCATTAAGAACCACTAACAGCCCAGTCAGCGTATCGAGTTAAGCTTGTTATATAATGTAATTTCTTGTCTATAGTAAAAAAKAAAACATGTAAAAGAGCAAATACTCACAGACTGAAAGGCAGCCGACACCAGGTTGGAAGGAAAAATGTTTCTTTAAATAGAAAAAACAAACCATAATGCATTAGATCAGGAAGTTTTGTCATAATGGTTGAATGAACATTACATAACCGTATGTTAAAGTCTCTTTATAAAGATAAAAAAAAATAAAAGTTACTACTAAAGCAATACAGACAAACTGAATGGCATGGTTGATCCTGTGGAAATTTAAAAAAATGTAATAATCCCCTTTCCCAACCTTTGTGCCCCTATTTTATCATGTGACGGGTTTAATAATGATCTAACTAAAGTTGCTACACACTGCTTATTAAAGCCACCCCCAAGAACTCAGAGAACCCAGCACAGTTGATGCCTCTGTGCTTGGTTGGTTGTAAGATTTAGAGCAATAAGACGTTACCTTAACAAGCTCTTTACAGCCAATCAACAAAAACAATCGCACTCAAATCTCAGAAACGCAGTGAACCAGAAAGATTGRTTAATACCGACTAACTCCAGGAAAGAAAAAAATCAATCTTTTGCTATAATCACTTGAGAGCTCTCTGTAGGTTTTTCACAGTTTTTGAAGGTTGCCTCAAACACTGCTTAGATTTGAGAACATTTTAACAAAGGTTCTTGTGTATTTGAGAATGACAGAAAATGGTTACCTTGCATGGAGAGGACAGTAAAACCATGAAAGTGAGCTCACACCTGAATACTTCTACTTCTCTGGCACTGTGGTTACTTCCTCTCTGGCACAGTTCTCACTCTCAACTCTAATGAACTCTTAAATCTGCCACCATTTCTGTTCTTTATACCCGTGTCTGTGTTAAAAGGAAACGTCCGGCTTCAGGACGTTCTGAGAATAACACGTAACTGTGTGTATACGTGTACAAATCTTTACGTACAACTGAATAGCGTCAGCGTGACGCCATTAACACACACACATACACACAAACACAGAATTGTCACATGCCTTTCTGAGGGTGTGTCCTCTTTTGTTTACGTTTAGCTACAATGACGTACTTTCAGAATACTGTTACCCTCCTAGAACAGGCAACCCTTCCAACACCTAACCCAGGTCAAATGCTTGGTTATACGGTCATTGTTTTGTTTTACAGGTGACCGAAACGATCAACAAAAAATGTGTGTAATGTAATCTTTAATGATTTGAGGAAATTATTTAGTATTTTTTTTTTAATTGGGGGAAAATGCTCTTTTCAAAGCTAAACTTTTTACAGATAGGAACAAAAAAAGACATGTTTTTCCCCCAGAGTAGCTTCATATCACTTTCTTTYTGTAAACCAAGGTAAAGGTTCTCAACACACCAACAGTAGACGCTGCACAGCTGGGCGCCAGCTTGGGAATGTTGACATTTGGTTCAAATTGGAAAAAGACACACAGGAGATAAGAAAAGTCAACAAGGATGTGTTGGAGTGGCTGCAAACAGAGTGAAACCTATCCTACCTAACCTGACCTGACATGTGGACAGTATATTTTTTTATATGAACGTACTTAATGATGATAATTAAACCTGAGTCCACAGATTTGCAAACAATTAACTTTTACGCTCCGATGAACCGCTCAGTTCCACCCAGCATGTTCCCCATCTAAACTCACCAAAACAATAACGAGAGGCCTGCTGTGTGTTTACAATAACCTGGAAACACGTGTTCGACACGAGATAAAAAATTACTCCTGATTTTGTTTCTTATTCCGGTAGTGTGTTGAACTCAGGAAGGTTAGATGAAATAATCCCAGATAATATTAATCCCTGGTTACAACAACATGCTTTACTTGTCCCGATACCTAAAACTTAATTAAATGAGGGTGTGTTTATTTATTTTTTCCCTCCCATGCCTGTAAATATGCAGATCAAACGTTCTTTCATTCGGGCATTTATGTTGCAGCTCGCAGATCTGGTTCCACCACATTCTTCAATATCAGAAATGTAAACCTGAACAGCTGTCAGGTTTTCAGGAAACATTCGGGAGCTTAAGTATTATTGTACACGTTGTACTATCGAGGAATGACCACACACTTGATATTTTGTACTTCTTCATTGTGTCTAACTCTTCTAGTTAAACAAAAATGTGCCTATAATGTGCAGAAATGACTAGATAAGAATGCTGTCTGAGGCAAAGTCAAAAGATCATTACAATAAAACAGATTAACTTAACTCTTTTGTTTAAATTTGAATCTTAAGACTTTTAAAAACAGTCTTTCTTCCATTATCATTCTGCTTTTTTAAGCAATAATTGTTTACTTAGAAAGCTTATTTTGGGGGGGTCTGAAGACTTTGGAAACCAGTGGATTAAAGGGACCAGTGTGATGTGTCAGAAGATGACATCACGCTCATATTTTGRTGTATTTCCACTGTGAATCAAGTCACAGAGTTTCCCTTTAAGGCAACACATCTATTTTAAAAGAGACAGAAGTACTGGCAGGGTTAAAAAAATATCTACTGAAGGAAATCGGTCCAGTGACAGTACCTAGACACGTGGAGATGGTTTCTTTTGTGAGACTAAAAATAATCTGATGCTGCTGATGCCTAATTTGGTCTGTTTCACGCAAACGGAGTTCCTCTGACATCAACACAGAGGGGAAAGTTGTGGCTGGTTCTTTAGTAAAGGGACTTTACCAAGTCACTACAACTTCTCAGGAAACTGTAACCAGCATTATTTCGTGTATGCTGAGAATTAAAGTGCTACGCTACAGCACAGACRGACAAACCGGGTTTCAGATTAGAGGATTAAGCCCTCATGAAGAGGAAAAGGCAGCTGATGCAACAGCTTGTTGACGTTACTCAGTCAGGTTAAAAATGGCGCCACATTGAAGCACATTTGTTCCCTTGTGGAAGTTCTCAGAAAAGAAAAAAAAAAGTAACACTCCTCGGGACTTCACTCACCTTATCAAGTCTAAGAAGGAGTCTATAATTTCTTTATGAGCCGGCACGCTGTCATCGATCAGGTCGACAGTTGGGGGCTTGTCGACTGCCCCCGGCTTGATGATGAACGCCATCACGACCCCGATGGACGACGCGATGAGTGTGGTGATGAGAAAGAAGAGCATGGCCCACCCGCCGAGTTTCCCCAGGGCTTTYGGGTCGATGCTGGCCGCCCCGGACACCAGGCTGCACACGACCAGGGGGATGATGATCATCTTCAGGAGCCGGATGAGGATCTCGCCAGGAAAGCCGACGTAAATTTCCTGGGTCTTGGTCAGGCCCACGTTGCGCACACCGAGTCCAATGAAGACGCCGACGATGACCCCGGCCACGGTGAGGATGACCAGCAGGTTGGCCCGGACGATCCGGAGCAACCGCGCGGACAGCGGCTCCGGGCTGGTGGTCTTCTTCTTGTGGCTGTCCAACCCGTTGGCCAGGGGCTCGTCGTGGTGAGCCTCGCCGTTGGCTGCTTTCATGTCTTCAATGTCTATCTTCTCAGCCATTATTAAAAGTTAACCTAAAACTTATAGTAACAATACAAATAGTTGTAACAATTTATATAAACGAGGCGAGGGTAAAGCTAATAATTTACGCGCTTAAAGAATGAAAGACATAGCCGACAACTTCCTCGATTTACCTCACTTTACCTCGTGCGAAGTTTTTTTATACCGGCACTTTTTAGCCCCACCCATAGATATCTGCAGGACAGAAACTTAGGGCGGACATCTCAGGGAGGCCGCCTTCTTGGATAGGTCCCACTCCCTCGGTGCTTATATTCAGGTGCATCTTCAGCAAACTGATAGGAAATTCACACAGGGTGAACATATTTTATATGAATAAGTAATTAAGTAAATTTAAAATAATTTAAAAAATTAATTTTGTAATGAAGAAATATGTTTGTTCATTTGAAATTATTTCTCTTTAACACAATCATACTTTTACACAGCAATAACACAAGAATTTATTCACATTTGTTTTATTGTGCTATGAATGCAAACGTGTGCACATATGTGTGTACCTATATATATGCACATATATACATATATATACAAGTGTAGCTATATGTATATACCCTTCCATCAGTGCCCGAATAGAAAACCCAGGATGTAAACACCTGTTTGTGTGCAGTTGTGAGCATGCATGCATCTCTCCAATGGAATATTAGTGAGTGTGGGGGGATCACAGACCCGACCCGCAAAGCCGGAAGCCGACATAAGGGAGATCAGCGCCAAAGACCCCGAGAGG